AGCAGAAATTTTTCAAAACAATAATGTAATAAACTTCTTTGGGTATTTCAGTACTTACTAAACCTTTTCTCATGCGTATTTATTATTTTTTTCTTACGGCCGACAATGAACAGCCGACCCAATTTTTGGGTTTACGACTACTAATGTTCAACTCCGTAGCATTGTAACTTTGAATCCATCCAAAAGACAAGGGGACTCCTGGATCAGTAACCCCAGAGGTACGATTTGTTATGGGAATATGGAGGACATTGTGACTCGACAGATTTAACGCGCATCAGTCACCATTTACTATGCGGGGAGTCTTCGGCCGGCTGGGATCGAACTCTCGACCTCTTGGACATGGGCCCAGTGCCCTACAAACCGGGCTATCTCTGCCCTTTTATTATTACTGGATTATTTGAATTCACTTCAATTATCAATCAAAGTGATTTAAAATTGAAACTAGATCGGTAGGTACTTCATATAAGTCGCACTAGAGCCGCACAATGGGCTATAGGCGACGGTTTGGGAAACATCCCTGAGGATGATCCGAAGACATGCCATCTCAATTTTAATTTTCTGCAGAAGGGGTTGCTCCCCTATTTTGGTAGCTCGAGAATCTGCGCTCGAAGTCCAGCACTTTACGGTAGAACAGTTTAACAAGGACCGATACTGCGCACCCTCGGTCCTTACGCAAGCACGTTACTCACCCACTAACCGCAGCCAGTGATGCTTGATTTCGGTGTTATACTGAGAACCGTGTCTTTGCGATCAGTTCAGGGATAGAGTGTTCGCCTTCCAATGAGGTGAACTGGGTTCGAATCCCAGCAATGGCTAGTTGATAAGAATTCCGCATTGGGTTTGAACCGACGTAAAATATCCTCAGTGGTGAACGGATCATGGGTTAGAGTCCCTTTGCCGTCGTGCTGACCATGGGAGGTTTTCGTGGTTTTCCTCCCCATGTAACGCAAATGCGGATTATTTCCATTAAAAAAGCCCTCCACAAAGACAAATTTCTCCCAATACTTAATCCTGGAGTTCCCTTGTCTGCTGGATTAGGCTCAAAAGGACAAGGCTGCGGAGTTGAACGTCGTAAGTAGTTGGAAGCCCAGAAATTGGGTCGGCTGTTCAACAACGGTTATAAAGTAAAATAAAATTACTCTCTAACTTTTTAAATGAAGATTGGTAATAATGTTTAAAAAAATTTTTCCCCTAATTTAATTCACGAAAACATTCTCCAATTAAAAAAAAATTATTATTTAGAAACATCGCGGCATATCATGAAAAATCGATATTTTTTTTTATATATTGCATTATTGAAACTTCTGAAAAGATCTCAGCACTTGTTGTAACGGCGCAGTGAAAGACTATTCAGACCTCCCCCCCCCCCNCCCCCCCCCCCATGGCAGAATCGCAGCGATACCGTCACATTGTCACAGAACGTTACAGTGTTTATGCAGAAATATTTTTTCTTTTGAAAAGTAAAGAATGTTACTTTTCTTTTCTACAGAAATTTACACGTAATATTTGAATCACGCATTTAAATAATCACTTTTTGACGCGCTCAATTTACGCCGATAGTGTCGCAAATCGATGTCATGTTTCGATTGTATTTTCGGCAGTTATTGATTTTCACGTGATATTTAAATATCCCGATGTATTTCAAACAGTGTGTAGAATTCGAATCCTGCATTTGAGTATTTCCATTTTAAGGCAATAAATTCTATCGAATTTTTGGCCGTTATTGCCCTTCATAGTTTTTAAATCCGATATTTTTTATATGATATTATTTATTACAACAATCTAATCTCGAAAGGAAACGCGCATTTGAGGAGTCCGTGATTTCTTCGTCGATCTTTTTTTCGGTAATTAATACTACGGATTTCATGATTTTTATTCTTTTTTTTTTTATTGTGACGATTATTTACAAAATGCGAAGAAGGAAATAATTCATGCTTTCCCCCCTCCTCAACAAAATGCGAGAATATCATCCCTAATATTAGAATAAAAAATTTTTGCATGTTCATTTAAAAAAAAATTATATAGTTTTTTTTTTCTCTCTCTGAAAATGTATGTTAATATTATAAACACCTTTCAGAAAGATATTAGTGCTAGAGAGAGTTTAGTCACAGATAACTCGAAAAAAATCTGCCACAGGGTTAATAACGCAATAAAAATGTTCCTTAACACCTGTTCATTCTACACAATAGGCTGGTTTTCTTTTATTTTATTTATTTATTTACATCCAAGTATTGAAGTGAAGTCGATGAACTTTTAGGCAACTTAAATGACGAGCCTCAAGCTTTTCTAAATACAATAAAAGTCCGTTATAACGGCAATTCATTATACAGGGGGCGTAGCGTTTTGGAAAATATCTTAAAGGTGCTTATTTTTTATTTACGTTTTTTAGAAGCCCTTAAAGGTGCTTTTTTTATTCGGGGTTTATTAAAAGTGCCTAATTTTCTATCTTTTAAAAATAATTTTTTTTTTCTTTGCCGTGTCGATTGTCGTTCTAAATTACAAAAAATGCATGATTTTCCAACTTTTCTCTACAATGTTTATCTGAAGCTAGTTATTTTATTTCGAATATGTAAAGTTTTTAAATTTTATTGATTTTATAAACCAAGAACTTTAAACGATAGACAAGAGATAATTTTTAATACTGCACACATACTAATTATGATTTTCTTTTGGAAAGTGATTAAAAATATTTTTTGAGTACTTTAAAAGTACTTAAAAGGTGCTTATTTTCTGTTGAGAAATCTGGCTACGCACTCTGTTATGGCAGATGAACTTTTCGTTGCTAGTAAATATACACATTTAATGAATGAATCAAAAATCTAATTTAAAAAATGACATATTTAACTGTTTTTCTTTTAAATTGAAATACTGTTTTGACTTAAAATACGCGTCTAGATAACGCAATTTTGCGTACAGATTGTAGACTGAATTACGTACCTCAGTGAAATACCTGGAACAAAAAGTTTCCAAATAGTTTTTGCAAAAAGAAATATGCTTGTGCCGAGATGGGAAATGAGAGAGTGTGATAGATAGGCTGTTTTTCATTTTTATTTATTTTTATAATTTTTTTTTTTTTTATTTTTNTTTTTTTTTTTTTTTGTGAAGTGCGTGACAGGATTTCTAAAAACGGCGGAACTCTTCTTTTGTTAGTAATAAATAACTTTGCCGGTGATCACGCACACTGTGCTTTATAAAAAGTATGGGTTGAGAAGTGGTGGACCAGGGGATAGAGCGTTCACCTTCCAATGAAGTAAACCGGGTTCAAATCCCAGCGATGACTGGCCCCGTCTTGCACTGACCACAGTGCTGACGTGAGATATCCTCAGTGGTAGACGGAAAAAAGCAATGCTGGGTTGGAGTCTAACTTTGGGAGGTTTTCGAGGTTTTCTTCTCCATGTAACGCAAATGTGGATTAATTCCATCAAGAAGTCTGAGACGAAGGAAAATTTCTTCCAATACTTGATCCAAGTGTTCCCCTGTCTTCTGAATTGAGTTCAAAATAACAAGGCTGCGGAGTTGAACATTAGTAGTAGTAAACCCAAAATTGGATCTGCTGTTCAATGATGGTTATGAAATAAATTAAAATCTGTACTCTTTAGATTAAACTTCTTTTTTTTCCAAATTCAGATTGTTATTTTTTTTTATTTTTAAATCCAAGTAATCGTCTATTTTATTATCAGGGTCTATGTTTTTCTGAGATGTACCTATTTTGTGCAAATTTAGACATAATTTGTGAAAATTAAAAATTATAATTAAAAATGAACACAAAAATATTGGTAAAAATAATGATTTATCGTTTCTTACGTCACACAAAAATAAAATTTTAAGAAAAAGTATTTTGTAAAACTACCGTTCTTCCTGAAGTTGAATTTGTGAAGGTACCGCTAAACGGTAGTAAATTTGGGCTTGGACGGACCCCTGATTATGATTAAAATGTTAACAAAATATCTTACATGAAGCTACAATAATTGTATATTTTGAAAAGAAAAATATATTCTGTGTTTTTGTGGAAAATATTTACGTTTTAAGGCCTGTTTAGACGATCCAATTTCTTGGACAGAGATTGATTGATATTGATGGAAACTTCTTTTGCTTTGATCGTGTAAACAATCATCCAAGTACTTGGTCCAACTTCTTGGACGATAGTAGAGCATGTTCTACTTTCCATCTAAGTTTTTTCTCCCTTAACCAATCAGCGTCTTAGGTTTTGTGGCGTTAACAAGCAGGCAGCAAATTATGTCATTTTGTTGTCTGTTTTCATATATTTTAGTCCAAACAAATTGATCTGTTGCGGTTTATTTGTGTTATTATTTTATTTGAATTTATTTAGTAATTTTAAACTTATGTAAATATTATTTTATAATGTTGAATATGAACAATGCGCNTCTAATTTAGAAGCAGCAATTGTTGTTTATTTTTTAGAATTTAATTTTTTTAATTATAATTTTACAGTGTTGAGCATAATCTTGTATGTCTTTACAATTTAAAAACTCCTTGAAAAAGTTTTTTTTTGCAATAACGGACCCTATTTGCACAAATTCATAAAAGCGGACCCTGGTTGAAAGAATGTGAGTCATTTTTTCACAATTTCACGAAAAACGGACCTTTCACAAAATGTCTGGACAGACCCCTGCTATAATAATTGTATATTTTGAAAAGAAAAATATATTCTGTGTTTTTGTGGAAAATATTTACGTTTAAGGTAGGGGGGGGGGGAAATAATGAATGAAAAGCAATTACGAGGGATTGGCAAACAAGCCTAAAAAAATAGCAACTTAACCCGACGCCTCTCGATTCTCTTAAAATTTGTTGCTCGTTATTTAAATTTTGCATGTTGTTAATTTTTGCACTCCTTTTTTGCGGATATGATTGTGTGAGCTGATGATGAGGAGATTATATCTTGATTTTGTTATCTCACTTTTTAATAATTTTTCTTCTTCTTCCATTAACCTTTATTGTTTTCTCTATATTATTAAAACTTGTTTTTTTTTTTTTTCCAGGGTTCGGATCCGAGATTGGCGACATGTCGAGGCAAATTACAAAATCAAAGAGCAAAATTAAACCAAGAGATCAACAAACAAATTATGATTCGAAGTGGAGCTGAAAGACTCTACAAGTGAGTGTGCTTACATTACACATTTTATGTTATTTGTTTTAAAAATCAAAATGTTACTTTGTGGCATCGTGGGGCAAACTAAACTATCAATGTTCGACTCCGTAACCTCGTCATTTTAAACCTAACACGGAAGGCTAGGAAACTTCTGGATCAAACATTGAGTTAAACTAGCCTTCGCAGGTGCATTTGTTTACACTTCTTAATCTGAATTTGCGTTACGTGGAAAAGAAAACTTCCCATTGTTAACCCGACGGTAAGGGGATAACCTATTATCCATCTACCATTCAGGATGTTTTCCGTCAACGCTACAGTTGGTGCAAACCGGAAGCAGAATTCGTATCGACCAGCTATCACTGAGACTCGAACCTGGCTCAGCTCACAGGTAGGCAAGTACTCTATTCTCTGAGCCACCGCGCTTCACCCCAATTGTTATAATCGCATATTACATAGTCCCTGTCAGGATCCTGATTCCTCTCCCACGCATTGGATTGACCCCTTGACCTGAGAGTCAGAGGGTGAAGGACACTGGAGGTGTCGTCCCCTACCTTGGGGGTGGAGCAAATGACTGTTTCTGGGGAAAAAGAGGATTTTTTAGATCAGATTAGTTTAGAACGCAGAAGAGTTGAGTTTCTAGTTGAACTATGCTAGAAAAAGTATGAACGAATAAGGGAGCAGTAGCGCTCCGAAACATTATACTCTACTGCTCATGTATAATTTTATAACAATTTTGTAAATAATTATATTAATCCAGAATAATGAAATAAATAAGCTATAACTGAAGTAATCCTTGGCCATCCTTATTGAGGAGTTCTTTAAAAACGAACCAAGAGACAAAATGTCTCACAGTCCCACAATTAAGACATGGTTCCCAGTAGAACACCGAAGTCAAGCATCACTGACTGCGGTCAGTGTGTGGGTGGATGACCACTTGGATCAGGGCTCGAAAAACCGCCAGTCCGCCCGTTCTCGGCGGTTAAAAATTCCCCGCGGACAACGAATTTCTCGAATCCGACGTCCGCGCGGACGGCCATTTTCCCGTCTTGATCTTTGTCATTTAAATTATTTCATAAAAGAAATAAATTATTTCATAAAAGAAATACTAGGTTACTATTAGTAACCTAGTATTTCTTTTATTACTGTATAATGTAATCCTAGTAACTACTAATTCATTGTGCAATTTATATAAATGTTTGTAATAAATAAGAGAAAATTATATTTTTATTTTGTTAGAAGCGACAGGTTAGTTTCAAAGGAGGACTGGTACATTGTTGGACAAGCCGTCCTCGGGGACGGGTAAAATTTCTGTGTTTTTTCGAGCCCTGACTTGGATCATTCTGCGTAGGGTGTGCGGCATGGGTCCTCGTTGAACTGTTCTACCATAAATTGCTCGACTTCGCAAGTAGGTCATAGGGCTACCAAAGCGGGGATGCCATTCCCTCTGCAGAGGATCAAACTTATGATGGTATGTCTTCGGATCATTCTCGGGGATGTTCCCCAGACTGTCGCCAATAGCCCATTGTGTAGCTGTAGTGCTACGTAAATAAACTACAACAACAACGCATGTTATAAAAGACATTAGATGGCTTTTTGGTGGTGATAGAAGTTTATTACGAAAGTGATGCGACCTGCGTTTTTTGTTTCAGATTTGATAAAAATAGAATTATTTTCTCCTCTAGTTTTATTTTATTGAGAAACAATTGTTACTCGCAGTACTAGTGCATCGAGCACCAGTTGATATCTGGTCAAAAATTTGATGGACGATAAATTTTAAGTAGCGATCAAATCGGCTTGTAATAGTCAATAAACGATTAAAACTTTATGTTGGATTCTAGTGTATGCTTTCACTTTCCGTCTAGCTAGACGGAAAGCGATTAAAAAAATATTTTTGGATTGGCAATAAATTTCTTAGAGTGATAAAGGAATAATAAGTTGTGTTCGTTTGGCGATCAGGAAATGATAGATATTGTTTAGCACGCGTAAATTCTGTTTAAATGCTTCTGTTCTGTTCTGTCGCCATAAATTCTGTTTGTAATGGAAACTGTTATGTTGTCTTCAGGCACTGAGCACCAATAGAGATTTAAATGCTCAAGTTTAGGGGTTCGTTTCCATTATGCGGTGTTTTTTTAAAAATTCGAAATAGAAAAAAGAATATTCAGGGCATACATTACAGGTTCACAATTTATCTATTACAAATTTCTTCTAATATATATAAATATATACAGTCCCTGTCCAAATTAATAGGTGCACTATAAGATTCTATGTAAAATTTTAATTATCAGATGATACTATACAGCTTTATTGCTTTTATTCACTTGTTTACTTTCGTGTATCAATGTGGGTTAAATAAGACGATGCATTATATAAATTCGACGATTAGATAAATTAGACGATGTATTATATAAATATAGAACATTTATGACGTCAGGTATTATATTAGTATATTATAAGAATTAGACCCAATTATTAGACGCACTGTAGTGTTTTAATAACTACGTGTTTTGCATGCAATACTTTTATATTTAAACATACGTGTAATGAAGTTTTATTCGGGAGATTTTTTATATACTTTCTATTTGTATTTATTTTTAACGTATTGCATTACAATCCCATATAGCAAAAATTCTTCCGTAGTAGCTCCCACGGAGGAATCGCTCAACCTCCCCCGGAGCTCCCGACTGTTCCCAAATTTCTCCCGCGGAGCTCCTCAGTAATGCAAAATGTCCGCACCTTTCAATTCCTCAGTTCCTCCGGCGGGCTTCCCGAAAGTCACTCCATAGGAGGAGCCGAGGAAGAATGATGAGGAAGTTTCAAGGTCTCATACTTTCCGATGGCTTTCCCCGGGCAGTCTCCTAAGGAAGAACTGAGGAAGTTTCAAGGTCGCATACTTTCCTCGGGTACTCTCTTTAGGAAGTGCTGAGGTAGATTTGAATCTTATGGCTTTCCCTTAGGCTACTAATACATATAATTATACTTACTAATACATCTACATTATTAGATTCCCAAAAACTCCAAGTTGTTTGTGGAAATCAAACGATGCGGCTTAGAAGGGGCAATAGAAGGAAAGACTTGATATCAAAATAATAAACAAGTTCCCTCACTAAAGCCCCACTGAGCCAAACAAAATAATAAACAAAATACAAACAAAACACATACAAAATAATAAACTATCGTATCTTTAAAATAATACTCTTTTTATTAACAGACATTTCTTATTATATCAAAGATAAAATCGGAGAACAAGTATGTTACTAGGCCTAACTCAGTAACGTGGAAATCATTAACTACTTTAACACAGATAATTAGAATTATAAAATGTGGTAAACGTTTAAAATACATAGATACAATATTATAAACTGAAAAAAATTATTCAAAACGATTAACTTACTTTATTTACTGAATCATAAATGAAGAGCTCAAAATTACAACAGTCAACATAGCTACACTTGATTACACCTGTAAGCAACAAACTATGTATACCTCCGCGCAATTTCTTCAGCAGGGTTACTTTTCAAAAATTCTTTGGTGAGAATTAAATTCTAGTCAAGCACATCTAGCGCATGCGCAATTGCTCAGCCGGTTGCACGCACAGACATAAGTAATTATGATGCTCCTACGGAATAACCAGGGAGAAAAATCCATTGGATTGATTTCTAACGGATGACCGGTGGAGGAATATCCGTAGGCGATGTTTCCGAAGGACTTCCTACGTATCGTTATCCGTAGGAATGTTAGAATGGAATTTCCCTCGGCTTTCCCCTATTTATCCGCGCCTTCCCTCGGAAGAAAGGGATGCATTTGGGAGGTCCTAGGGAAAGGTTTCGGAAGATGAGTGCTATATGGGATGTTAACCCATGTATACACGAACATGAACAAGTGTAAAATGGCTTCAGCCGAATAAAAAGAATAACGCTGTAGAATATCACCTGACAATTAAGATTTTACGTAGAATCTTACAGTGCGTCTCATAATTTGGCCAAAAACTGTAATTGTCTCTTTAAAAACACAAAAGAAACTTTACGAGTAGATTCTTTTAAGGATAGGAGAATAAACGTTTAAACTATCCGTTTTTTTTAATTTGTTTTCTTTTAATTAATTTTAACACACACCAATTATTTGCTTTAATGTAAAAACAAGGAAACGATAATTAAGGTCAATTATCATTTTTCTTTTCAGTGATGGACCTAAAAGTGCTCTCATGCCAGAGAAAGTAGTCTGTGTCAATTTTTTTCCTTAAAGAAATCATCGTTCGTAAAAAGCGAAATATCGTTCGTAAAATACTGCTGTTTTATGCCTTTGGACGCGGGATAAAGATTGTCTTGGTATGGCGGAATGATAGATTTTAAATCATGAAAATAACTTCCGTGAAAAAATATCGGCCATAAAATAAATAAAAATCGTCTGTGTTTACAGTTCTTATTTAGTCTTCCTAGCGAAACTCCTGTGGCAATGAGATTCGATTAAATAAGAACGGTTCGTTGCTTCGATCACAACTGAGATTATATCAACCGGGTTCAGGTTAATGTGTCTTGTCAAGTCACATTAGCTGCAAGCGCATTCTTTTAAAAGTCTTCTTAAATATTTTATTATCATTTCCTTGAGGGTTTTTTTTCTTCTTTTTTTTCGTTAATGAACTCTTGCAATAGCACAAAACTTTACATAAAGTGGTATATAAAAAGGCCAAGACTTTACATAAAGTGGGAACCCACTCTTTAAAGAAGTAGTTCTTTAAAGAGTGGGAAATATTGCGCTTAAGCAGGGGTCTGTTTAGAAGAAATATTAGGAATTGGAAGAAGAAAAAAAAAGAAAAAGAAAAACGAAGCAAATAGTAGGAGGATCCCCTCACATTGTTTTTTGAATAATTTGTTCTTGACATTCTAATATACTGCGCAGACAAAATCAGTGCAGTATTGCGCAGAGTCAGGAGATAATGTTATCGTTCATCTCTTTCGTACACAGTTGAATATCAGTTGTGCAAACAAGATAGAAAACATATTGAAATT